CTGAGAGTTGGAGTTGGGGAGGTACACAGTGTTGTGATTGTGAGAAGCCTGAATTTGACGGTCATTGAGCGTACAGCGTGGTGCAAGCCTTGGGTTCGTTTCAGTGACCCAAAATTGCGACATCCTCTCCATCCCCTGCAATTACTGTGCACTGAACAATACACCGTGCGTTGTGATGTTTCTGCTGCAAACAGGAAGTGCTCCATCGACAGACGGTATGTATGGCGCATGTGGCTTAGAGATGAAAAGAACACTTTGGATGTGGCATTGGTGAAGGAGGTTGATTCGGGTCCCCTACCGAGACTGCGCATTCAACCACGTTCACTGGCGTCGGGATTCTATCATGTCGGCTTAAGTGCTCGAGATCGGTATGCGGACGGCCGAGAAGAGATGGTAGACGTGGATGACGGTTACATTGAAATCCTTGCCGCACCACTGATAATTCGTCTTCTCAACACTTCAATGTCTCGAGTCTCGGTTTCCCAGGATTCAGGTGATCTGTGTCTACGTCCGGAGGTCTACTCCATTGCTCCCACCAATGCACAATTGATTGAGGCAAGGTTACCTTGTTTGTGGATTCATAGATGTGGCAGGATTTTATAGGGTGGAATATAACCTGCACTGTGGTGGATGCTGCATACATCGGAGCGGAATGCGGGATTGCAGAACTTCCATCGCAGAAAGGCAGCATCTGCATACCGACAAAGTGGCTTCAGCTTCATCGCATCTACAAATTCATGGCTGTCGGAAGGACACTCACTCAAGTGGGCAAAGGCGAAATCGAGATTGTCGTCGATGCCATGGGGGCACTGGGGATAAGAATCAGGTTTCATGTTCACTAAATCCTTGCAAACAACAATTGTCTTAGATTTGTTCTCTCCAAGTTCCATTAGCATTGGCGTGAGGTGGTGGGAGGGGGCACCCGTGGCCCACTTCTCACTGCATCCCACTCAAATGTTGACAGCATGCAGTTTTACAATGGCAGTTTATCTCATTTACAGCGCTGACGGTTCTGAATGCCTTTTTTGTTTGGTTTGAAGTGCCCTTAAGCGGGGCCTCCTGTGGGAAGGCTTTGACATACACGGCGCCTACATCAGCGCCAATGCCACATTGGTGCTGACTGGAAGGTGCTCGGAGGCATGTCCAAAGCCCTACCAGTGGAGAATTTTTGAGGTGCGTGGAGGAGAGAGCACTGCCACTGAGCTACTGCCGGAGGCCTTGCAATCAAATGTAGAAGGTGCGTAACTCCTTCGCCTTCGAATAGCATTTCAGCTCTGATAGTCGGTGGTTGATTGGAAAGGACGCTGG